TGAGCAGTACAAGCTGTAGTTAAAACCATCTTATTCAAATGGCGAAACTTGAGACAGATCAGAGAGTCAGATGCTTGGTGGCGGAAGCCAAAACGTTGAGAGAAAACGATTCAATATTACTAACCAAAATTAGATCTTATATGGAAGAAAATACGAGGTAGCTAGGTCTATGGCCTAACTATATGGGTTAGTTAGGTCTATGGCTTAACTATATGGGTTAGTTAGGTCTATGGTTTAACAATATGAAGTAGTTAGGTCTATGGTTTTACTATATGATGTAGTTAGGTCTATGGTATAACTGTATGAGGTAGTTAGACTTATGAGTTATTAACCTCTATTGTTTAACTGCACCAGTTAGTTAGGTCTATGGTTTAGCTATACGAGTTAGTTAGCTCTATGGTTTAACTGTGCGAGTTAGTTAGGTCTATGGTTTAACTGAACGAGTTAGTAAGGTATATGGTTTAACTATAAGATGTAGCTAGGTCTATGGTTTAACTATATAATGTAATTAGACCTATGGTATAAATGTATGAGGTTATTAGACTTATTGGTCAACTATACGAGTTAGTTAGGTCTATGGTTTAACTACCAGAGACGAGCCACTGTTGTTGACTCACCTAGACTCGTCAAGTAGGACTGCCGAGTTTATTTCTCTACGTGGCTAGTAAAATCCAGCTGCAGTCAGAGGCGGATCCAATATAAGAATGAAAGAGAGTCACCTTCAAATGACATGGNAAATATCAATCAAAGTCAATTTTGGCGGCCCCAGATAGACTGATGCCCGGGTGACATCTGTCCCCTCCCCTACCGACCCCTTAGCTAGGCTCCTGAGACGAAGAAATGTCCAAACATGGAAATATTTGAGCTTTCGGTAAATCAAGCCTATTTCGCCGTTATTTCCACCATCATGAACATTCACCTATGAACAACAAGAGGATTGAACCCCCACCCATTCACCAGGACATTAAGAAATGTTACATTAAGAAATGGCGTCAGCGGGCCGTCGAGTTTGCGCTCTTTATGCCCACCCCAAAACACCCCTCCCCAATCCGGTATCGGGCCGCGGAGCGGCGCATCGGGGATGTCCCTTTGTCAGGACAGCCCCCACCCGAGTCTGCTCGACGAGGGTCTCCGCCGGGGGTCGACCTAACCCAAAGACACCCGGTCGGTCCGACACTGTGTTTGCACATAGTGCACACGATCGACTTTCTCAGGAGTCGGGATGGAAAATTTACGTCCTATATAATATCTTCCCCCCACCCATCCCGGGGAAACGTTAGACGCCCTTGAAGAGGGATTCTACAGTGGGTTTCCACAACGCAACTAATTCGCGTTGTAGCTGGGACGAAACGGTTGCCTTGGAGCAGCTTCTCAGGGCTGCGTACTAAGAATCATCGGCCAGCGACTTCCACCTTCGCCTCTCGCCTCATATCCATTAACGGCAATTTGTAATCATGATCCCTACCCAGTCTCTGCCTATTTTTCCAGTTGGGAAATATCACAACTGGTAGCCCTGTAGGAGCTGTTTAATGTACGGCAAGTACCGAGCACATCCCTTGTCTGCCCACTCGGGACGCGCCCAGTAGTTTTGTTCCCCGGGTAACGCTGAGGGGGTCGATGGCCGACGCCTCCTAATCGACAAGCCACCACAGACTTGTCGACCGGAGAACCGGGGAATCACCAGAACACCCAACGTCAATCCGCAGTTGCTTACAGTGTGTGTGTGTGGGGGGGGGGACTACGATGACAATGCTGTTCTTACATAGTTCGCTAAGTGCAGGCTGCGACAAAATTAAACGAGTAGTCTGTAATGGGGCTGACCTTGGCATTCAACCGGTTGATCCTCTACCATTTAGAACAAGCTGTACGAAGAGCTGCTATATTGTAATTTAGTTTGAGATCTGTAACGGTATTCTTATGGTATGAGGAGGACGACCAGGCTAGAATGTTTTGACAACACCATTTGGAAATGGTAATTTTATTTGATTTTTTCATTGACTGAAAATCTAACGATAAACGAACGGAAACTTTAAAGGGGGGGGGGGGGGGG